AAAAATGCAATAAAAATGTTTTGACATTCATTCTTAAAATAAAAGAAAGGGAGAATGACGAAATAAAAACTATAGATCGAGTCGTGATTTTTTCGAATACTGATCGTATTTCTTATTTTAATAAGAAAATTAAGAAAATTAAAAAAATTTCATTCTCAATAAAATTCCGTATAAAAAAATTGATTAATGAGTGATTCTTAGAACATTATTCAATTCATTTGCTTACAATATTTAAAATAAGAGGGAATAAGAGATTTTTTAAGAAAATTTAAATCGACAAAATCTCTTATCTGATTCGTACTTTTATAAAAAAAATTTTAATTATCATCTAGAAGGAGATATTTTAATTTATAATCACGAAAAAGATTTATTTCTTCTATCAAGCCCCACGAAATTAATTTCATATTTGAGAAACTGGATAGTTGGTCAATTCGATTTATTTTTCAACAGAATGCCTGATTTCCTCGTCAATAAATATTTAATACGTTCGGCTTTATTTCGTGCGCGCTGCTTCCAATCAGTAAGAGGAGGAAGCTCGTTTGTGAATGCAAAGTATCTTCTCAAACTTTTATAACGTTGGATTAAAAAATTATCTCGAATTTACAATTCGTAAGCGAAATTTTCTTCAAAAAATATACCGTGAAAACAATTGAGAGAAGCGAAGCCAAAAAAAGAATATATCTATATTTTTCTAAATCTTGACAATTTGATTGCAAAAATACAACAGAATTCATCGTAATTACGAGAAGAAAAAATTCTAATCGATTACAATTTTTATCTTTTACATTTGAGTAAGAGTTTGGATCATTGTACAAATAAAAATAAAATTTTTAACTAGCAAATAAATGGATGCTTGATTATTTTTGTACAATAATTATGATACTTGGAATAATAACTTTAATGTACAATTTCCTCAATCCACGATATAGATAATTTAAATCTTTTAATAGTATTCGACTCGAGTTGATCATATTGCGGAAAAATTTCATTAAATTATTCATAACAAATGTTATTTTACTTTCATCGAGGCGATGAATAATTAAAAAGATATTCACTAAACGAACGTTATCAATATTTAAGACGAGAGATATAATAAAAAGAACAAGGAATGCAAAGTACGATACCGTTGGACGAGCCTCGATTTTCAAGAAAAATCAACGTTGAGTGGCCGCGGTTCTAGATTGGCGCACTTGACTGAAAACGTTTCGTAAAGCTTTGCCGTGGACGTGAAAAGTTTTCGAAGTCGAAAGTTACCGCAACCCGTAGGAAATACATCTTTGTGTTTAACTTTTCTTCTGAATCTTGCAATAATCCACGTGTCAGACTGATTTGATCTCGGCCAACTTTTTAGATGCATAATATATACCGCGAATTAAATTTCTTCCCTCGAAGTCCCTTCAACGTTGTTCACCTCGATTTTGAAAAATAAGAAATTTTGATTAATTGAAATATTCTATGAAATCTAGAATTTCTGCAAATCTAATGCAAACTTAAATTACAACTTTATAACAAGTAAACCAACATTCTTTTATATTTATATTTGTTTTGATCTTTCAAAGATGTCTCATCATGAATATATTAATTATCTTTTAGCGTTTCTTCTTTCGATATCGAACTTTTCTATTTTCCATCCTATTAACGTTTTCTTCTTAAAATCAATATTGATTTTTTAATCGTTGAAAAATTCCCGTTTCAAATAAATAAAACCTATTCGCGTCGAGTCGTAAACAGGGAGCAAAAATCTGTAGCGATTCAAGCTATAAGAGATTCAACAGTCCGCGGAAATGTTCGAACGATGGCAGCCGTGTGGAACAATCACGGATTTACGGTCGTTTTATTCCCTCCAAATAACTATTTTATTTCCTCCTTCTTGACGGATTGTTGAAAGATTTGCCAAACGGGACGAACGAAACTCGTAGTGAAAGGAAAAAAAAAAAAAAATCTGTCGAAATGTGCTACGTTTGAAGTGATAAAAAAAATTTTTGTAAAACATCTAAAGATTCTTCGATCGTTCGAAGACTTGTTTCACAATTAATTTCGTTTAAAGAAAAGAGGAAAAATTTAAATATACAAAAGAACGAAAAACCATTCTCTTTAAACCTTCCTTTTCCCTCCCTTTGAATCAATATCCTTCAAATTGATTAAAATTTCGCGTTATAATCATTAATCATTCAAACTTCGCCCAACTCTTCGTCCCACCGATCCCGAACGACCATTCTCATTTTCAACCTTCGCACAATTTCAAAAATGAATATTCTCGAGCAGAAACAATAACTCGGCCATTCCCCCGTTTAATGGCTCGAACGCCGCCTATCTTCGACGCCTTTCACGCAATCGTTTTGTCGCGATTCCACAACCCTCCTCCCCTGGAAACGGGATAATTCCGCTTGTTCATTCCGGTTTTATCGTGTCCGTTCGCGGTTCGACTCGTGTGCCAAGCGCATGACAAATTCGCACGATCTCGAAATCATTCACGAATTCTACTACTTCGCCGCTTTCGCTCGTGTCTTGAATACCGGATGCCATCTCCATTCCCAATTCCCCATCGCCATCTCTTCCACTCCCTTCCTTTTCACGCGCCGCTCTCTCTCTCTCTCT